AAGAAGTTTTTCAACAGGTTTCTGGAGGTGCCAGACCTACAGAGCAAACATCAGCTTCCCCGGGAAAGCTTTCCCGTCTATGTAAGTTTTCCGAAATTCGCTTTAAAACTGTTCTTCTCTTGTTCTTACGGGATGATGGTGCGAAGGGAGCTGGAGAGGGGTGTGGAGGGGGGGAGGCGGGACGAGGAGAAAGCAATTTCTTGTTTCCCTTGAACTGTATATATCGCCTTCTCCTTCTAACCCTTTTCCCGAGAGGTGTCACCTCCCTCTGGGGAGGCTCCGCGCCGCCTTTCTCCATCCCCTCCTCCCTGGCAGCCATGGGTGCCGCAGTGGGGGTGCAGGCTGCGATGGGGCCGGGGGCTTTGCCCATGCGAGGATGCGGCTGGCGACGACCTCATCGGGAAAAAGAGATGGAAGGACCCATCGGAGACGGGTGTATGTGCATGTGAGAGAGAGAGGGAAAGGGGGAAGAGGGTGTCCTTCCCCCAAAATTCAGCCTTCCAACGCAGTAAGGGGACGAGGTGCGGGGCAAGGAGGGGCAGTGTAGCCGGCCCGTAGCCTGGCGAGAAGAGGCCAGTTGAGCGGCATCACTTGCACCGTTGTCTGTATCACAGACACTCATAAATTCAACAAGCTCATCAACAGGATATTAAGTTGCAGGTTACCTTTGATGGTGCCGATCCGAGCCACTTCTAGGCCGTTCGACCTATGACCCGTGAAGACCACATGTGTTGTCCTCTAGCCTCCCTCTGTAAAACACACACTTCGAGACAAAAGTTCTTTGTCAGTCTCTACCGCCAGAGTAATGTAAAAGAAATAGGGGAAATAATGAAAAACTCAGCCAAAGCTGTTAACTTTAAAATGCCTTAAAAAAAAAAAAAAAAAAAAGGAAATAAAAGAGAAAAATATACTAGGCAGAACAGGGACAGAAGGAAGGAGCACCTTGCTTTCGTGCCATTAATATTTATTGTTCCTTCAGTTACACTTATATATGTATAAAACGCTACTCTCGGCGGTAACGCCGTGAGACGGCGGGGGCCAGGAGCAGTGTAGCACTTTTTTTCCAGGACGAGAACCTCGGCCGAGCGGCAGCCGGTGCCTCTGCACTGCCCAGCTGCGGCCGAGGGACGCGCAGCGCCGCGTATTTTGTGCACCCTGCCCCACTGCGCCGCTCATTCTGCAGCAAGCACAGACCCGGCGCAACGCCCCCAAAATCGGTCTGCCGCAGCACTGCCGGGTTTTATTAGATGCACCTTTTTCCATCTGGAGATGCCCATATAAACGTTAGAGGCAGGGGAGAAGCGTTCCAATAAAGCGCGATGGACTTTGTAATACAATTTATGCTGTCATTCATAAATAACAATGCCATATGGTAACCATATTGCTTATACAAGTAAAGCCGTCAAAGTGTCACTATTTGATTTATCTCAACAGCTTCTTCCAACGGTGACGTTCAGAGAGAGGGGAAGTGGGAAAGAGAGAGAGAGCAGAGCAAAATTTGGCCTGGGTTTCCTGAGACCGCCTCTCTCTTTTATCTCTTTCTTTCTTTCTATATATGGATAGATTAGATAGATAGATAGATAGATAGATAGATAGATAGATAGATAGATAGATAGGATACATAGAAAGAAAGAAAGATAGATAGGATACATAGAAAGAAAGAAAGAAAGGAGGACTTCTTTCCCCCTTATTTTTTCCACATTTTTCCCCCCCTAACTGAGCAAACCCCAAAGGGGATGGTCCCGCTTTCCCTAGCAATGCGCGCACTGAACATGACAGCTCCGAAACTTATGCTCGTAAATCCCGGTGCCAAAGGTGCGGCGGGTCCCGGCCCCGACAGCCTCCAGCCCCGGATCCTTGTGTCAGCCTCAGATTCCCGACTGGACGCACAGAGCTACGACATTTAGCACAGTAGTTAATTTTTTAAGGGTATAAGTTATCCATCCGCGGAGCCACTCCATAAAGAAGGGGTGGGGAGTCTCACTGCCATATCGCTCGCTATTCTCTTTTCCTTTCGTGCCTCTGGGCCGAGGTCCCGGCGCCTCCGTGCTATCCCCGTGACGGGACAGCGAGCAGGGTACCGTGGGTACGTCCTGCCCGTGTGGGTCTCCACGGGGCTGTGACTCGGGAGGGCTCCACCTCCGATGGCGCATGTTCGGGAAGGGAACCGCACCACAGGCTTCCCCGCGCACAGCAGCCCCACGAGCGAAGAAAGCCACCCGCGACGGGTCGGGAGGAGGGTAGGCTTTTCTAGAGTATCTGGGGAGTCTTGCAAGTCTTCCCGGGGAAAGCGGCAATCCTTTCTAATGGTTCCCCAGAAGAATGTTTTACACCTTATAAAATATTGTTCCCCAACTATCAATAAGACGTGCATTAAAGACGATTGTTTGTAAATGGTGCTCATGATCATTAGCATACATTTACATAATGCAGCTCACAGCACAGCGTTTTACGGTTAAACACCTCCTAAAGCCGATAGCCCGAGCTCAGTTTATAGAGGAAGCTTTACGAAATAAATTCGAAGTCTTCCAGGCTTTCACCCCGCCTCTGCAGCCTCCCGCGATGTCCCTTGGCAGGTTTGCCAGCGAGCGGAGCACTGCGGGAGGGCTCTGCAGCCGGCTCCGCCGCGGGAGCAGGGCGCGTTCCGACCCCCGACAGGGTGCTGTCGGGGTTGTAGGGGGGCTGCGGGGGTAGCACAGCACTCTTCCCCTCTGTTGCAGCCCGAGGGCAGCGGCAACCTGGGCCTGAGCTGGTGTCGGTGAGTTAATGGGCTTTAAATTCTTCATGGCTATTTTGGAGCTGGCAGCGTTCAAAACTGTCCCTGCGCAGGCAGCCACCTTCTCTTCCCGGCGTTTGCAGACAGTCCTAAAAATGAGCGAATTTCCACGTGAGTCTCCATCAACCCCTCCCTCCCCACAATCACAGGTCAGCTGCCCATTAGCCAGATATAAAATAATTCAATTTTTTATAGCCTCTCATAAAAAGAAGTTGATCGGGGTATATATTTGAATTAAGACATATTAAATCGATGACAGATACACATCACCTGCGTTTAACAGCTCCGGGACAAGGGAGGGACAAGGAGGCATGCATAAGGTTCCACAGAGCTGTCATACTTGCTGTTCACCTCCACAACATCTCTCATCAAACCATTCCCTCTCTGGGAACCTCCCTTGCTCCATCAAGGCACCCAGAATTTGGGGAAGAGGGAAGGCACTATTTGGATGGACGTGTAGAAAATACATGTATATAAATACCCGTACAGATGTATGGCTACTTTGCGTGAAGTTTTTACTGTGCAATAAAACCATCGAGCAGCCGCTTTTAAAACCCGGGGATCATTTATTCCCATTCCTTGCCTTGCAGCATCACTGAAACCCCCACGGCGGCCACACGAGCCGGGAGCATTGGCTCGTGTCCAGTGGTGGGAGAGAAGGGAGGGAACCGGTGGGTCTCTCCCCCTTGAGCTCCCCCTAGAGCCTCTCACCCCCGTTTTGGCAGCCGTGGGCCAAATCCTGCGATATTCCCCCCCCGCGAGTAGCAGCGGGAGAGGCAGAGGAGGGGGAGCCTGGAGCTTGGCCCAGGAAATACCGGACCAGCACGGGGCTTCCTTTGAACGTGGCTTGGCACAGGAAAACGGCCAAGACGCACAGACGTAGTTTCGTCAAGGGGATTAGGTGGCCGGGGAGAGCCGGAGGTGCGTGTGGGTCCGCTGGCGTCCCCCGCCCCGTTTCCTCTCCTGGAGAGGCGGAGAAGAGTCCCTGGCTGCCCCGCAGGCAGGGAAGGGCAGCCCGTTTGCCTGCACTTTCCAGGAAAGCGGGAGCTCAAGGCATTCCCAGGGGGACCAACAGCCTGGGAACCAAAGAAAGCAGATGAGCTATCAGTAAAGCTACTTCTCCTCCCACAGAAAAGTCACAGCAATGCTCCTTTCCCCTTTTGGCTCGCAGGGAAATCCCGGCCTTGCCTAGTCAACCCCCTCAAAAGGCAGCATCCTTTGTACCAAAGGGCCAGTTTCGGCGCTCCACAAAGAGCTTCACTTTCGAGGACCAGCACACCCCGCTCCCCAGGGGCGGTCCTATCGCTGTCCCCGCCCGTCCTCTACCTCTGTTCCCTTTCAGGAGAGCTCCTACTTTTCCTGCCTTTTCGTCTGGGGCAGCAGCTCAGGGCCGACACTCACCCACCAGCCGGAGACTCCCCCATTTCCTAGCCTACCGTTCCGACATCCTAAAGAGTCGAGGAGCATTTATGCTCGGGGCTAGTATCACTGCGGGGGTTTCATCTCTATTTCGCCGCTGCTGAATTAGGGTTGAAGTGGATGCAGCTGCCTGGACTACGGCTGGCGTGCCGCCGAGGGGCGTGGGGTGGCCCTCCCCACGGGATGCCCCGGGAGCCGCTGCGGGAGGAGGAAGCCCCAAGGCGGCAGCGAACGCAGGCTCCCAAAACTTGGCTCTAACATGTGCCACTTGCCCTCCTCCCCTCCCCGCTTCTTCGTTTATTTTCTAAAGGAAAGGAATCCCAACCCCCGCCGTCTTCTTTTTAGGGAAACTGGCCGCCTTCCCCTACTGGTGCCTCGGGCATGAGTACACACAGGCTCGGCCTCGCGTGGTTGTGGGGTTGCGCACATTGTTGCATGAGGGAGTGCTTTCCCGCCTCATCCATGAATGAACGTGGCCCTCCAAAAAAAAAAGGGAAACTGAGCACAGAGCCGGGCAGCAGCCGCGCGCGTGGGCTGCGGCCAGGCGGCGAGAGAAACCCCACGGCCCCGCAAACGTAAACACGGCGGAGCAGCTGAGCAGGGCGCCCCGTCCGGTGCCTGGGGAGCAGAGGCAGCTGCTGCCCGGTGCTGCCCGGTGCTGCCGGCGGGGGGCGGCGGGGGAGGCGCCGGGCGCGCCCCGCCGGCCCCGCGCGAAGTTTTGCAAGTGCAACTTCGGGGGGCGGCGCGGGGGGGCCCGGGGGGCGGCGGGGGCGGATCCCCGCTGCGCCCGCGGCCTGAAAGGGAGCCAATCGCGCGGCCCCGGCCGCTGCCAATCATCGCCATCCGTCCAATCCCTCCGGCGCGGTGTCCGAGCCGTATTCCCCAGCGCGCCGCCGGAGTGTGGTGAGGGCTCTGCCAATCGCGGGCGGGCAGAGCGGGGCCGGGGATGCGCGGGGCTCGGAGCGCAGACAAAAGAAGTTAAAGAGCCGCTTAATATATACATGTTTTTGAAGGCGGGTAAAGGGAAAAAAATAACAACAGCGAGCGTAGATGGGCTTGGCTGTGTCGTTATGGAGCCCCCTTTGAGCAAGAGGAACCCGACACTGAGATTAGCGGATTTGGCAGCGGCTCAGCCCCATCCTCACCAGAACATGACAGGCTTCCCGGGGCTGGGGAACCACCACGTCCACCCCCACCACGCGGCCCACCTCCACCCCGGGGACGCGGGCGGCGACCCCGGCGGCGCCCTCACGCCGCTCGGACCCGAGCACATGGCGCAGCCCGCCGCCCTCAAGCTCACGCCCGAGGCGCTCACCGCCGCCGCCTTCGCCGCGCCCGCCGCCACCACTACCGCCGCCGCCGCCGCCGCCACTGCCACCGCCGCCACCACCGCCGCCGCCTACGCGCCGCCCTCCGCCGCCCTCCCGGGATACCCGTCGGGGGAGGCGGCGGGCCGGGACTTTCTCCTGCGGCGGGAGCTGCCCGCCGCCGCCGCCGCCGTGCACGGTGCGCTGGGCGAGCAGCACCCGCCCGCCGGCTCCCCACACCTTCCGCACCCGCCACCGCACGGCGTCTTCATCTCGGCCGCCGGCACCTACGGCGCGACCGACGGGGCGCACGCCGCCTTCCCGCCGCCCGGCGACCAGGGCGCTCCCGCCGGCCGCCACCCGCCGCTCAACGGGCAGATGCGTCTGGGGCTGGCGGCCGCCGCCGGGGAGCTCTACGGGCGCGCCGAGGCGCACTACGGGGCCGCCGCCGCCGCCTCCTCCTCCTCGGCGTTGCAAGGCTACGGCTCCGTCAACCTCAACCTGGCGGCGGCCGGCCACGGGCACCCGCACCACCCCCATCCCCACCACCACCACCACCACCACCACCACCACCATGCCCACGTCGGGGCCGCGGCGGCGGCGGCGGCGGCGGGGGCCTTCCTGCGATACATGCGACAGCCCATCAAGCAAGAGCTGATCTGCAAGTGGATCGACCGGGAGCCGCCTCCTCCACCTCCGCCGCCGCCACCGGGCGGTAGGAAGCCTTGCTCCAAAACTTTCAGTACGATGCAGGAGCTGGTGAGCCATGTCACCGTGGAGCACGTCGGTGGGCCCGAGCAGAGCAGCCACGTGTGCTACTGGGAGGAGTGTCCCCGTGAAGGCAAGCCCTTCAAAGCGAAATACAAACTCATCAACCACATCCGAGTACATACGGGAGAGAAACCTTTCCCTTGTCCCTTCCCCGGCTGCGGGAAGGTCTTCGCTCGTTCCGAAAACCTCAAGATCCACAAGCGGACTCATACAGGTGGGTTGTTCTTCACACACACACACACACACACACACACACACACCCGCAGGGGTTTCCTTCCTTTTATTTTTTTTTTTTCTCCCCTTTCCTCCTCTTTTCCTCCTCTCCTACGCACCGCCGAACATGTGACTTTTTCATGAATAAGTAATTCGGCAGCACACGGGCCACGCACACACAGCTACGTACACGCACCCGGCCCCTCTGCCCTGCACACACGTGTCCCGTCCCCCCCCTTCAGCCCCCCCTTCACCTTGGGCAGCTCCCTCCCCACCCCCACCCCCCGCCACCCCCCCCCCCCCCCCACCTCCCTCCCCACCCCCACCCCCTCCGCTACCCACCTCCCCGCATCCCGGCACCACCGGATAAATACACCGATTAATAAATAACGCAGAGCCGGTGGAAGACGAGCAGCAGCCCCTGCTGAAGAGCGAGGAGAGAATGAGCACTCGCCCGTCCCTACTCCCACCGCCCTTGTCCGGGGCACCCTGCGGGGCTCACCCCGCGTCTGGAAAGCGCTGCGCTTTGCCACCTTCCCCCGCCACGCCGAAGGACGGCGGTTCTGCTCTTCCTGCCGCTTCTGTCGGCGGGGACGGAGCCGGGCGGGTGACGCTTGGCCCGGCGGAGATGGGGCCGCGGGGGCTCTTGGGGGCGCAGTTCCCCTGCGCTGCGGGCGGCAGTGGCGGTGCTCGGGTCTGCCGGTACTACCGGGATTACCGGACTGCCCCAGCGACCAGCGCTACTGCCGGGACCAACGATGCTGCCGGGCGTACCCCCCGGCCTGGGCTACCGATATTGCGGAACTACCGGGGATGCTGAGGGCGCTGCCGGGGCTGCCCGTGCCGCTGGGCTACCGGACTGACGCCGGTCCCGAGGCTTCTGGTGCTGCCTGGGCTGCTCCCGCCTGCGGCAGTACCCGCGGAGTCGGGAAGCAGGGAGCGAGGAGGGGGAAGGCTCTCACCGGAGGACGGTTCCCTCCCTTTGAGGATCTGAGAAGCAAACTTCAAAGTCTCCCCGACTGCTCGGCGGGGTACGGGAGGAGGGAGCGGCACCCTCGGAGAATGCCTCGGGGGCAGGCGGGGGCCCCTGGAAGGGCTTGGGGTGTCTTTGAGCCTTTTAGTATTTTATTTTTCTGGGTTTGGTTTTGGTGGGGTTTTTTTTTGTTTGGTTTAGGTTTTTTTCCCCCACTTTCTCCTCATTCCTCGCCACTCCCGAAATACGCATTTCCATCTGGGTGTAAAACACTGCCGAAAACGAACGAAGCCGGGATTTATAGTGGCAGACAAATATTATTCCTTGGAGGATACTTAAGGAAGTGGAGTTGCTGTAATTGCTTTCTTGATTTATTGTTTGCTGCTCGGGAAGAGAAAAGCGGCGACCGTACAACGTGTTGTTCCGATGTAAAACCAAATGGCCCATGGCTGAAAGGATTATAGATTTTTATCTCCAGAATATGTCAGGCACGAGTCCATATGTAGCAGCGGAGCCGTGGGGGTGCCTAGTGCTCTACACCCCGAGCTAGGGATGTGTGTGTGTGTGGAGGGGGGGGAGATTTCCCTGGGGAAAGGAGTGGGTAAGGTCTGACACTTTTTGCTGTTAACGGCACCGTGGAACGAGTTAGCTGGAGGCCCGCGGTTTTGTCATCTATTTGAAAAACTAAAGTTCACCGCGGACTCTTCTGGGCTCCTCAAACTCATTAGCCATCTCAGCTTCAAGGGGCAGGCGGGAGGGAGGTGGGTAGAAGTCCAGGAGAGGCTCGCATGGAGGCAGAGATTCAGCCGGAAAAAGAATCCCCCACCAAAACTCAAATACATATCAGGCACAGTTCGCAGCTCTTAGATGAAGTCGAGCATTGTCCCGAGGCAATGTGTGGGACATGGCTTCTTGCAGTGAAAATTTGGAGAAGTTATTAGCTTGGGGCTACTCGTAGTCCCCGGGAAGGTGTCTGCGTGAGCCCATAAAGAAAAGCTCTACCCACGAGGAAGGGGTCGTTGCACCAAAGCAGCCCTCAGGGTGGGGGGCAATAGCTTACCTCGAATGACAGCTCGGCCCATGGGAGGGCAAAGGCGACAGCAGTCTTTTTCTACGTATTTCTCCCCACGCCTTCAAGTGGAAAAGGGATCCTAAACTTTCTGCGTGTTCCTATCAGATTAATTACTGACATTTTGCCGCTTCAGCTTTAACTTAGTCATGTGCAGCCTGGGAGCAGGAAAGATTTACAAATTATTCGTTTATTATGGGCATTTAGTGCCCGGAGGGGAGGGGGGGAAATAATAATACCATAATCGTATCATTAGGCTATTTTGCATGTTTCTGGTAAATCCCTCAGGAAGAAGAGTATTTCAGTAATTCAGGAAGCGTTTGTTTGGGACCTTTTTGTTTTCCTTTTTTTTTTTTTTTTTTTTTTTTTTTTTTTTTTTTTTTTTTTTTTTTCTTCCCTCAGAAGCATCACCCCGAGGGCTGCATGCCACGCTTTGCAGCTACTGCCCTATTTTGGAAACAAATCACTGTTCCCAAATCCGGTGCATTCTAGGGGGAATGGGGACCTAGTCCCTTCTGCAATTTTGCTTTCCCCTCACCAAAGATGATACTCAGGATGGTCAGGCTTCCTTCTAGTGATTCCTAGACCCTCCAAAAAAAGTGACCCCAAGCCCCATCTGTGCCCCTTCCCTCTGCCGGCACTGTTACTGCCAGGAGAAGTTAGGGAACGACGCCCGGCATCTCGCCCCCTTCCGTGGGTTGAAACCACCTGCAAATGGTTAAACTCTGACGTGATGTCCTCGTCAGCATAACGGGGACACACCGGGACCTTCGCCAGTCCTGGACTTACGGGGAATTTGATCGTTGCGGTCTGGAGTCTGGCGAGGGTGCCCACACGTGAACCCAAGAGGAAAGACACTTCCCTAAAACCCTGATGGAGTGGACACGGTTTGGTCCAGATGGTCGGAGCATTTCTCAGGGGCTGCACCTCGGGCTCTGCAGGTCGTGGTCAGCAGCAGAATATGTGAACCTTCATCCATCTGGTAACACAGACAGAAACTGCCCAAAACCTCCAGTAGATTTGCTTTGTTTTCCCAGAAAAATTAATAGTAATTAATGAACAAACAAAGTGACTGGAAGCTTGTCTCGGGGGTGTGCAGAGGTTTGCATGCACACAAGGCATGTGTAAAACCCACGAGGCACAATTAATTTTTTTTCTCCCTTTATTTTTTTTTTTAAGATAAACTTTGCACTTTCTAGCGCTACTGCTTTGGTGGTAGGTGAGCCGATTTTAATTGAACAAATTGATGCATAAATAGGCTGTGGAGATGTATGTTTCTATAGTAACAGCCTAGAAATTGCTCCTAAAAATAAAAATAATTTTCTTATTTCCATTATTATTTTGATAAATAATAAATGCGATATGATCTTACAAAGGGGAGGAGCAGTAAAAATAGCTTGCTTGTAAGGAGAAAATGTCCACCGAGAGAGCTGCTGGGTTGTTATTTCTGAGTCTTTAGAGCAAATCACATCCGAAAATTTGCATCAACCATGTCTAAAGCGACTCAAGAGTTGCGATAGTAATGACATAGATTATTAGTGCAGGTCTGTCTGCGCTGGATTCACGAGTAGCATGGCAGAGTGAGAAAAACTCGCTGTAAGAAGCGAATACAGGGATCTGGCACTTTTTTCTTTTTCTTTTGGTGTCTCAGCAAGAGGCATTTACCCAGCCCTATTCGGGAGCTGTGAGGAAGGGTCGGCTGGGGGAAGGACATTGCTATAAGTACCAGAACATATGGATTCCAGGGTATGCTACAGGAGAGAGAGCTGTGTGAGAAAGGTACACCAGGCTAACCGCCCCGGGCTGATTTTCACAACCCCTTTAACTGCTAAGCAATGTGTAAAAACCCTTAAAAGTAGATCATCCGCACACGTTTAGACCCAAATTTGCCCAGGCTAACCAGCTACACTACCCTCATCTTCGGTGTCTGGGTTGGTCCCCACAACTTGCAGGTTCCCAGTCCGGGCTGCGGGGTGCTCCCTCCTTTGTGCCAGGATGCTTAAACAGGTGTTACTTTTATTTTCCCCAAACTAATTATTCCTCCAGCGCAGTGCCCATTGGGAAGGGATTACGCAGGAGATGTGCCAGGCGAGCCAGGCTGCCGGCAAACGCCAGCCCTCGCAGGCAAAGACATTGAGAGGTTTTGTTCGGGCTCGGTCATTAGAGCGGTAATGAAGGTTTCTCGTGTGCGAGGGGAGCGCCGCAGAGGGCAAACAAGGCCGGGGGGGCCCTGCCGCCGCCAGCCCGGGACTCGGGGCCTGAGGGCTGCCAGCGACGTGTGACAGGCAGCAAAACACGGGGAGAAAGTCGGAAACCTCGGGCATGTCACGACTGTCGCGAAGGGGGAGGAAAAAAGGGAAAGGGGAGGAAAAGGAGGGAAGGGGAAGGTTTAGCCTTGCCGCTCGGCCCCGGGGGCCGCGCTGCGGAGGGGCTGCGGTGCGGCGGGCGGGCTGCGGGCAGGGCCGGTAACGGTGCCGTGTGTCCCCGCAGGGGAGAAGCCCTTCAAGTGCGAGTTCGACGGCTGCGAGAGGAAGTTCGCCAACAGCAGCGACCGCAAGAAGCATTCCCACGTTCACACCTCGGACAAGCCCTACTACTGCAAGATCCGCGGCTGCGACAAGTCCTACACCCACCCCAGCTCCCTGCGGAAGCACATGAAGATCCACTGCAAGTCCCCGCCGCCCTCCCCGCCGCCGGGCTCCCAGGGCTACGCGGCGGCGGGGCCCCCCGACGGCCCGCTGCCCCCCGAGGCCGAGCCGGCCGCCGAGCCGCCCCGCGGCCGCGCCGCCGCGCTCTCCCCGCCGGTCACCAACCTCAGCGAGTGGTACGTCTGCCAGGCCGGGGGCGCTCCCCGCCGGCCCCGCACCCCCTCCAGCCGCGACACCTCCCCGCCATCCGAAGAAGATGAGCCCCACAGGACCTCGGGAGGCAGAACTGCTCCCTAGGGCCGTGCCGAGTTGTGCCAAGCTGCCGGTGGCCCCGGCCCCACCGCACTGGCCCGGGCCGCAGAGGCAGCCACCTGGCACGGGGGGCTGCCGTGGAAAGTGCCATCAGGTTTGACTCGCGCTATTTATTCCATGTACAAAACCCTATGGTGTTTGTATGGTAACTAATTTAATTAAAGAGACTTGGACTTTTTTTTTATTATTATTTTTTTGGTAAATAAAAGCATTAATAACGCCAGGCTGGGCCATCCCAGTCACCTGAGCTACACAATTTTGCAGAGGGATGGTGCCAATGGAGATGCCCATCTTCCACTTTGCCCATGCCCATTGCTCTTAACAAGATTAAATTGGCGAAGGCTGCGAACAAGCAGAACTCAGCCGATCTCTGGAATGGCTCTTAAGTACCTTAGCTGCCACCCCAGCGCCTCCTCTTTGGCCTGGGTAAAGCCCCAAGTCAGCAGCAGCCTCTTGACTGTAAAGCAGCACCTGCTAGAGCTCTGGCTAGTCAAGGACAAGTTGCACATCCCTTAAAATAAAATTAAATAAACGCATTTCCCCACCCCTCTTGCAGTTCAGCTCCCTTGTAATTGATGTTTTCTTTCCCGAGTCGGGGGGTCCCACCTGCACACGGCATTTTCTCTCCAGCCTTTCTTTCACCCTTAGCCGTAACATTGTGCAAACGATTTACGAAAGGAAAGACAAAAGATGCAGGACTCCTTTTTCACTCCTCTGCCGTTTATACTTGTATGGCTCCTAGAACATAGCCAGAGAATAAAAGAAACACGCTGCTATTTGACAACTGTGATACTGTGATACGTTTTTGATTTTTTTTCCCTAAAAACCCACACGAAAACTCTGCGAATTTTCCTTTCCTTGGGGTTGGTGTTATTATTACTCTGATTATTATTATTTTTCTTAAAGTTTGTCTCTCAGACCAAGACTTTGCCTCATGCTCCCTCCAGCCTCCTGGGGGGTTGGGAGGGGGAGCAGCCCCCTGGCCCTGACGAATCCCGAAGTAGGGGACAGGCATAGAGGGATTATGTTTTTATTATTTTTTTTAATGTATATTATTTCATTTCTCCAACCGAGCTGATGCCTGCGTGCTTTTTACCATCCCCCTGAAGTGGCCCGGCAGAGTCACCTGGGAAGTGGGGACCAGAGCTGCTGGGAAGGAAGCCAGGGGTGGGACACAGGCTGGGCTCGGGGTGCCAGCCTCTCCAAACAACCTCCCAACAACCCAGCCCTGCAGCCGAGGGCTGCGGGGCACGGGGGACACCCCAACCTAGAGCCCTTGAGTCAGGAGCGGGGCGCAAATTAAGTAAAGAGCACTAATTCCTCCTCAGAGACCCTGAGAGAAGAAACGGCAGCCTCCTTCCCCTCCCCCAGGGCTTGTGGAAATGTGTTTTGTGTGCCGTGAATGGTGGATGTCGTCTTGTCATTGTTAATAACGTGTATGTGAACGCGATTATTTTGTACAGTCAAATTAATTTATTTTCTGACATCACCCTTTTTTTCCTTTTTTTTTTTTTTTTTGACTCCCCTGTAACAGTACAGAGCACACCAAAGAATTACCTTATTAATTTTGGTGATAGATTGTTGTTTATGATGACGTGGTTTGTACAAAAAAGAAATCATTATATTTTTCAGCTTACTTGAATGAACGATGTATGTGAAACAGACTCTTCCTGCATGTCCTCCGTGCGGTGTGTTGGTGCTGATAATATATAAATATATGTATAGTTCATAGAGATATTATATTATTAGTACAGTGCATGGTGCTGTCACTCTGGAAGCCTTGAAACGTTGTCTTCATATTGTTGTGTTGGATCTAAAGAAGCAGGCGTTACTTTGAAAACAAAGAAAAAACTTGAATAGAAAATAATTTTTTAAAGTTCATTCAATTTGCTTTTTATTCGTTTTTCAAAGCCCATTTGAATAAATAGAAAATAATAAAGTGAGGTATGAACTTTTTAAAAAATAATTTATGTAATGTAATCTTATTAGAGATATATTGGTGCTGATTTATAAACGAACTTTTTAATTTATGCATTTTTTCAACAACAGATTGCACTATACATTATGACATGGCAGGGTTTATAAACTATGGCTCGGGGGGATATATCACTATTTTTATGTATTTGCTACACGTAGGGTCACACACTTGCCCAACAGTTTTATGACACATGATACCTCCTAAATAATAATTTTAAAATGCTAATTTAAAACTTTTCATCTCTGTAAAAACCAAAAAAAGCAAAAAAAAAAAAAAAATCATGCAAATGAATAAAAATATTATTCCTATGTATTGCATGTGCCTTACTAACAGACAAGGGGCAGAGCCAGAACAAAACATCCCCTTTTCCCTGCGAGGGTCAGCAGGTAGATTCAGATCCAGCCATAACCTCACAGCTCGGCAGGAGCAGCACCGCGAGCTGTTGGGAGTGGCTGAGCTTTGCCCAGAAGAGTGCGAGTAAATAAGGTTCTCCTTGAGATTTACCTCTGGGTTTGCAGCCAGGCAGAGGAGGGATGCTCCGGGCAGAGCCAGCCCTGCCTCCCCGAGGCTGCGGGCCTTGCTCCTGGGGGTGTTTGCCCGTGAGCCGGGCTAAGGGCGGGGGTGGGCAGAGGATTTTGGGGTGCCTGGTCATGATGGAGCAGCTGGGTGCTCTGCTGCTGGCATCCCGTGCACAGAGGGAAGAGAGGGAGGGACAGGCAGAGATACGACACAGGCACAGGTCAGTTATTTATACGCATGACATTCTTAATCTCTCAAGGACAGCTAATCGGAATATAAAACCTAATCAATTAAAATGTTTATTTCTGTTAGGAAAAAAAACAAAACAACAACAAAAGAGGGAGATTTTCCTGGCAGTATTCTCTTGAGGATATTAATGAGTTAAATAGCACTACTCTTCGGTAGTAGCCATATAAGCGAAACCGTATGCCAGAAGATGATTCTGAAACACAGAGTGAGATCAGACAAGGAATAACGCCAGGAAATCACTGGAATGAAGGACAAGAAAAACCTCGAAGTTTTCAGAAGCTGAGTGAGGACAGGGTTCTCGTTTCGAGAGGAGAAAGCTGAGGAAAACCCGTGAAAAAAATCCGGACAGAATCGTGTGTCGGCATCCTCCAGGATTATTTCGTCTTTTAAATTTCTTTTAAAATAAAATAAATTAAATAAAACTAGCCTAGAGTGATTGCGCCCCCGCCCCGTAATTTACCAGTGATCGAAAATGACTGGTCAAAATGTCAAGAACAGTTTCACCAAAAGGTTAGAGTGTTTTTTAAGTCAGTTTTGTTAAATGTGGTAAAGGTGAAACAGGTTGCAAAGAGTTGTTTCAAGCAGAATGACAATAACCAACATACGAAGCAGAAAAACACTCATAAATGAGGCCTCCAATCAATGGGAAAACTTATAGCTCCCTAATGAAGTTTCTTGTGAAAAGGAGGGCGACACAAAGCCACCGAGACATGAATCATTCATGGGAAATATAAAAGATAAAAGATATCTGACAATGAGCAGAACCTTGTATAGAGTGTCTAAAACAAGTTTCCCCTTCTTATTTTCTGCTTCCCCCCCCCCCCCCCCCCCCCCCGCCAACCTCCCTTTCCTAGTGTTCCCTGCCCGCCCTATAGAGTTAACATTGACCAGTGCACGTCCTGCCCCACTTCAAAGTAATTTAGCCCAGAACGGAAGGCTTGGCGCTTGGACAATCTTCATGGTGTGTTAGGATTTCTATGGCAATTGGCAAGCAAGACGTTCCCATCTGAATATGGCTCAAAGAAAGCCACTTATTGACACCGAGTTGGCCATCATCAAAGACTTCATCTTTTCCTAGGCGAAACGTGGTCCTAGCAAACACTGTTTAAATCATCTACCTTTGTAGTCGCGGCTGGGAGACATCTCGCCACACACTATTGCTGGCGCTCGGCCCTTTAAAGGCGAGAGCGGCGGTAGCTAAGTTTGAAGGGACTAAGAAATTTCGGGAGTGTGGGAAATGGCATTGCCGGGAGGGGGGCTGTGGATATGGATAAGCGGGGAGTTCTCGGCGGAGAGTCGCGGGGCTGCGCCCCCCAACGCACCCGCTACAGGCAGGGTGCGGGACGCCGGGCAGCCGGGATAGGCTGCTGCTTTGTCTCCCAAAGGATGGGTGGTGGGGAGAACCAAGGATTTTCAGGGGTTTTCCTCACATGTTTCGTGCTTCTAGAGATGTCGCCAGGGAGTTGTGAAGTTCTGGCAAGGATGGATTGTCACTCATTTCCCCCCCATCTCCACCCCCTTCTGCCCCTTCCCCCTCCATTATCCCGGAAAAATATTTTCAGGTAGAGCAGACCAGGACGGATCAGGGAGTGTGCTGGGACACACATTCACACTCACACGCGGACACACACGCTCCCCCCTGGCTCGGACACCCAAACGCCGGCGGGGCGCTGCCACCGCTCTGCCACCGCTCTGCCACCGCTCTCTCCCCCCGCATCCCGCGTACCCTCAGCACACACAACCACGCTCCCGCATTCACACACACACCACGCAAGTGCCTAATCAGGCAGGGAGAAGTTCAAAGGCAGGTTCTTTGAAATTCAAACTACTGCTTTTATGGTACATCAACATGGAGCGTTAGGATTGCTATGGCAATGAGCGCAGCAAAAGCAAGCTGCATTTAAAATAGTCCACCTCGATTCGAGACACTCTATTAAGATACAGTTGCATTGACCTTTAGTTTCATGCCGTGTTAGCGCAGTCAATTTTCACTTCATCAGAACGTCTCATATTTTTTGGCCTCTCTCCCAGCGACCCTTCCCCTCCCGTTTTTTTTTAGGACCCCCCCTTCCCAACTTCAGCAGATAAACAAATAAGTGAGGAAGAAGCTCCATCTCCCGCTCTTCTTTTCTGCCTCCCTTTTTTTTCCACCCCACCTAAGTACTTTTATTTGCAGAGCGATTGTTCTTTGTTTATTTAATACAAGTACTGTGTGAATGGTGAAAAATAAACACGATGAAAAATAACCAAACAGATGATTCCGCCAAGTGAAAAAGCCCGGACTTAATAAAAGTGCGAAGCAGTCACCGTTGAATGAGAAATCCTTTGAAGTGGAACTTATTATAGGAAGAATACTTTTTGGTTTCCCTAACGACGCTGCTGAATTGAAAGGGCTCGCCTTTGTCAACGATTTGTTCTCCTTTGCCGGGATGCCCGCAGAAATTACTTACATGGGCTGCCTTAACATGCAGCCTGCAAATCAGTAACTTCGCAGCTCAGACTCGCAGACGCCGCTCTTCTAAGGACAAAAAGAAGTCAGGAGGAAAACACCCCAACCTTTCATTCAGCCTCTTATTTTGGGGGGTGAAGGGGGGCGGAGGGAGAAAAGGGGGTTTGGGACGGCGGGGGGAGGCGAGTGTATCCGTGTAGCAACACCCCAGAGCCCCCAGCCCCCGCCCCCCCGGCCCGCCCCGCCCGGCGGCAGGGACCCGGAGCGGGACCGTCCTCCGCTCCGTCCCAGCCCCGGAGGGAGCAGGGGGGTGGCGGAGCTCCTCCGGCAGCACCGTGTCTCTCCTTCCCCCACCCCCGCTCCCCCTTTTTTCTCTTCTGCCAAGTGATTTTCCCAGGCAGAGACATATTTAATAAGGGTCGTTTATTACGAAGGCGCTTTGAAGGGTCGCCCCTGAAGCCCTGTGTCCATTAAAAACATGGAGGTGACATTTAAACCTCGTTTTAAAGGAGCTCTGGGGTAGTTCAATGAAAGGCAACTCGTTTGTCTTATGAGCTTGGAAACAACCTCCCTTCTTCTCCTTTTGACCACATGGCATAACTCAAAAACAATAGTTCAAAAGTAAAATGGCATCGTGGTGTTCAGCCTCAGACAGGCACCCATCTAGCAGGAGAGAAAAGGGATAGTCCATAACACAATGTGCTTTTTGTGTCCGACTCTGTCACAAGGATTTCGTTGTTTGCTTTAGAGGCTGCGCCTGTTATACTTTCTTGAAAGTGCTTGTGTTAAACAAGAGTTATAAGTCATCCAAAACAACAAACATTTTGATTTTCTTTGCCTAAAGGGTTTTCCCTGGCCATGGGCACCGTGAAAAAATAATGTACTTGCTGAGAAAGGAGCACCAGTAGTAGCATTACAAGCACAGTGCATTAAATATTGAATGACACGAGGAAAAAAAAAGAACTTGTCGAGGGGCACTCAGCCTTAAAGTCTTTCTTCAACTTTGTCTTCAGTGCCTGTTGGACTATTTAAGATGGTGTTAATTAAGGGCTGCATCTGATTCCACTAGCCCCCAGCTTTGTCTCTTTGCAGCGCTCCCATCAATAGCCCCTCTCAACCGCGGGCTTTCCCCACAAGTTGGTTTAGTGGTGCATGTGTCACTTCTTATTTTGAGGCTGAAGAGAAACCCGGATCGTGCATTAAGGGAAACAGGGAGATAGTAATCAAACGGTGTTGTAGGGCTCGGGCAGGGGGGGGGTTTGCGCGGCGGGGCAGGGGCAGGAGGAGGAGGGTGCGCGGCCAAGGCTGGAGCAGGGCAGCAGGGAGCGGAGCGGGGGCACGGCGCAGGGGTGAAAGCCTGTTTGCACATTGCCAACAGCCTGTTTGGCAAACAAGGGGCTGGCGAGCTTAATTTGTTTCAAATTAATCGTTTTCCACGAGAAAAAGAAAGAAAGGAAAAAAAAAAAAACAAACCCAAAACCAAAACCACGCGTCAAACAGCCCTCCCCAAAATCCTGCAAGAGAACAGCAGGAACTGCCTCAGGTCCCGCGGCAGCCCCGTGCGGGAGCCCACGCGTGGCTGCGTGGGGAGCCGTGGCGTGTGCCTGTGCCCCTTTCCGGCTGTGTCCCGGCCGCATGCAGGCAGCTGCTGGCGCTGCCCTTTGCCGGCCCCGTAAATGAGGCCGACCCTCAGTGCAGGGCAGCCCCCAGTGTGCACCAGGCAGCGGGGTGGGCGAGGGCAGCCACGAGAGCAGGGGGGACACACAGTCTTGGGGTCATTCGGCGGGACGCCTCGCCCTGCACTCAGCTTCTCGTATTTAGGGGCTCGCCGCTCTCCCCTCTGCGGGGAGCACCGAAGCACCCCGCATTTCGGGGAGAAGCCTTTCCCGGGCCCCATCCCTGCGCCCCCCGCTCCGGTTGTGGGGGCTCCTCGAATCCCAGTGGGGCGCCGCGTCCCTCCCTCCCTAAAAGTGGTGGAGGCCGAGAGGGGCTTTGCCCCTGGGGGGCATCGTCTCCGCGCTCAGCAAATACCAACAGCGGGGGTGCAAATTGGGGGGCGGCTCCTCTTTTCTGTACGACTCCTTTTCAATCTGCCAAAGGCACAGGGTGTTGAAAGCAAGGGGGCGCAGAGGAATCCTTTCCAGGTGTGGGGGGGTGTGTGCCCCCCATTCCCCCGGGGTCAGCGGGGACCCACTGCCCCGAAGTGCACTCAGAGCTGAGGTCGGGTTAGGGGACCCCTTAATTGGATAGGGCGGCGGTGGGGGGGAGAATGGTTCACTTCAGTTCTGTCCTGCACGAGTGGTGAGGAGGAAAAAGCTGAGCGTGAGGCTGGGAAACCCAATAGCCAGATTCCCTTCTTCTTCTTCTACTTTTTTTTTTTTTTTTTTTTTTTTTTTCCCCAATCCCTATGTTCCCTCTCTCCTCCTCCTCTTCCTTTCACTCGGCAAGCCCGTCTAAAGCGCTCCAAATGGCCTTTCAAACAAGAAAACCCTTCAAGGAAAAATGGGCACACATCCCCTTCCAGGCACCTTGCCAAAATCTTCCAAGCACCCTACCTGGCATCCTAGCTTAAGTTTCTTCAAGAAGTATGTGTGTGTCTGAGTACGCGAGGCGGGGGGAGGGGGGGGTTCGGGGCCGAGGGGGGGTTGGAATTACAGCCGTCCTGTAGTGGTAGACACAAGTTCAGAGCTCCACTTCTCCCCTCTTTAATTAGGCTGGGGAGAGCCGCGGAGGCGCCTGGTTGAGGCGCAAGCGAGGCGGCCGGGCCGAGCGAGTGAGTACCCAACGCGGCCCCGACGGGACGGGGACGGGCACCCCGGGGGAGCCGCGCCGGGGGGCTCCGAGCTCAGGGGGGAGGAGGCGAGCAGCCGCATCCCGGAGAGAGATGTGGGAGGGGAGGATGAGGGGGCCGGGGGTGTGCCAGGGGAACTCTCTTCCCCGAACTTGCGGTGCGGACCGCTAGGCGAAACTGGGGAGGCCAGTGCCGGTGCTGCAAAAGTCAGCCCGACCCAGCTGTGACTTCACCTATTAGCCCCGATGTCTTTCCGAGGAGATTGGCGGAGTTAAACATCCCACAATGGGCGCTCTGGGGCGTCTCCAGCCTGACCTCTACCCGGTTTTAATAGTTTCATAGGAACTTCATTAAATCAATTACTTAGTGAGCACATCATCATTTATTTGTAATTAGCACTGAAGAGCTTGATTTTTGCAGCAGCCCGCAGCCCGGTTCCCAGCGGGGTTGGCCATGTACTACAAGCACTTTTGTTTGCTCTGTGTGTTGACTCGTGGTATTATTCGGCCGCCACAATAAAAGTGTAATCTTCACGTCTTAATCTAGCGTTCAGGGAGGAAAGGAAAACAAACACGGAGCGGACGAGGCACCGGTTCCCCGTCTCCGTGTCCCCCCCTCCTCGGGCCGCCGGCCCCGCTGCGCGCAGTCGGGCGCGGTGCGGCTCCCGGGCCGTGCGGCGGGGAGGAGGGCGGAGGGACGGGAGGGTGGGACGGACGCCGGGGCCGAAGGGGGGGAAAAGGGAGGAAATGGGTCATCCGCAGCCAGGACAAAAGAGACCGGCTCGGTGCCTTGAAGGGCATGAAAAAATGGTGCGAATCGGCTGCCCGCGGCTCTCGGTGTGCTTGTTAGGGGGGAACCAGCGGGGCTCAGTGCTGGGGGGGCAATAAGAAAGCTTTCGTTTGGGGGGCTTCGGGGCAGGAAAGAGGACGGGTAGGGGCAGGGAAAGCCGCATCAATGGACGTGACTGTATTGGGGGCGGGAGGAAAAGAGCGAAAACTCCCCCACATAACCAGCCAGTCCTCCTCCGCTTCTCCCCGCAGCCAGCGCTTTGCCATCGCAGCTTCCCACGGGGAGGCGGCTCCACGCGTGGGCCGCCCCACGGCTGCCCCCAGGCGACAGCCCCAGCCCCTTTTTCCCACCGCAGAAGCTGCCGCGGCCACGTCTCTGCGCGCCCCGGTTCGGGCCCTGCGCCGAGCCCACCGGCGCAGTGAGAGGCAGGCATCCCGGGCGGCCCCGGGGGGAGGAGGGCTTTGCAGCCCCCTCCCTCCTCGGGCTGTACTGGCTCCCAGAAAGACGTTTTGCAGGCAGGCAAGGGGTTGGGGAGTGGGGGCTCTTTTGGGATGTCTGCCTGCCGCCTCTCACTTCCCTCACCCCCTCTCAGCGCGAGGGAGGGAGGGGAGCTGATGTCCCGTTGGAGGCTGCTCCACACCCGCAAGCTCCTGGGCTTATGCACCCCACGCGTGGCCAGTGGCTGTAGGCACCGAGGCAGCGACCTAAGGGAAAAAGAAAAAGGGGGCGTGTCGGGCTGTATGTACCCCTGTACAGGAGTAGTACCGTGTTGGGCTCTGACGACACCCCCACTCCTGGTACTCAGGCGCTGCCCACATTTGGCAGTTCACCTGCAGAGGGGCTCTGTCGCCCCGCTGCCGGCCCGCTCCTTTCCCACGGAAACCCGTCGAGGTGAACGGGACGAGCGGCCCCGCCGGTACTTGCCTGGGTCAGCTCCTACCGGCTGAGGGATGGGGCGATCCTTAATTTCCATCCTCGACGTGGCGAGAGCCTGGGTCCGAGGCAAGACAAGTGCAGGGGAGGGTGCAGATGTCACCCGCGAGGGAGCCGCCCCTCGCTGTGCCGTCGGTCATCTCGTGGAGAGTGATGGGTCTCCACCGCCCCCGGCCCGGGCCGTAGGGCAGCCCCCAGCTGCAGGGGCCGAAGTGGGGGCCCGGTGGTGCTGGCAGGGCAGAGGTCGCCGTGCAGGGCTGCCGCGGCGGCTGTGAGGCCGTTCGCATACGGGTGATAAAACACGCCGGGAGGCGGGGGGCGAACCCTCTCTCCCCTCCGCCCCGAAAACACCGCTCGCCGTTAGTGCAAGGGCCAGAGGTTTTCAAATTCAAGCAAATAGCAGGGAAAAGCTCCGTAAATATCATCTGTGAGTCGGAGAGGAGAGAGGCGCTTTATTTGCGCGGAGCAGCCGGGACACGAACGTGATTTTAGTTGCTACGTATTTTTAATATTAAATCTCTTAAACATCGAACATATCCAATCTCTTCTGTCCGAAAACGACCGTCTGAGAAGCCGAGCGGGGCGTGTTTGTCGCCGGGATTGGGATAAATGGGAGTTTCCCCGCGATGGCAGCGGGGAGACGGCGAGAGAGACTGCGCGGATGCGGAGGTTGCGCGGCCGCCGAGAGCAGTACCAGTGTCGTAAGCTCTCTTCTTGACGGGCAGGAGACCGAGCCCGGGACAGACCCGAAACCCTAAACGTTGAAAAGAAAGAAGTGTTTGCTGTGGGGGAGAAAACCAGTACCATCCTCTCCCTCTCCTCCTCCCAAATCTACAAATCCCGCAACTTAGTCCACGGGGAATGCTCACGCAGATTCGCGGGAACCGGTACAAGTTGTAGGGTGCTATTTTTAGGGCATGGGGCTGGAAATGGAGGGATAACCCTAGGCTCTGCAAAGCAAGAGAGCTGTAGATGGGGAAGGTAGCGCTGGCTGCAGCCGGACAAGTCAGCACGTCAGCCGTGAGTGACGCGAGTTGCTCGTGGGAGGAGGGAGAAAGAAAGAAGGAGCCCACGCCATCCGCCCTCCCCGTCCAGCCCAGAGGCTGAATCTGCCGGACAGCTGTCGCGGTGCGTGCTCCCGGTGTGCGCGGCTCCAAGGAGCGGAGGCGGCCTGCGGCAGACACCTGCCCTGCCCTTGCCCCTGAATTTTATGGAACTGGGAGCACCTTTCCAGCCCGGACGTGTTTCAGAGGCTAAACCCCTTTTGGGTTGCTGGCGGCACTGCCGCTGTGCCGTCCCGATACCCCACGGTGGAGGGGTGTCATGGGTGGAGCTTCGGGGAGTCGCGGGCAGTGTCCGTATGGGGCAGCTCAGCACTCCCCGGCCTCTGGCTCCGTTGTCTTCTTCCCCACGGCCTCTCCTGCCTGGCCACGAGTGTTCCTGCTCGTGCCTGCCAGCCTCACTTTTATCCTGCCTGTGCCACCCTCCCTGCCTGTCCCGCTTGGTCCTGCCTGTCCTTGCCTGCCCAGCCCGAATTCCCTGGAACAGCAGCCCTCAGCCTCTGCACCTGGTGCTCTTCATCACTGGCAGAGAGCTCAAGGACATTTGTTGTGGAGCGGTACTCTCTTGCAGGCTACATCCCTTTCGTCTGCACTACGGAAGAGAGAAGCTGCTTCCTGTGGGAAATGGGTGAGGACAGAAGGGTCAGCAGGACAAATCCAGTCAGCTCTCCCCTGTCCCAAACCTGGAAGCAGCTTCCCAGACACCTGCCATCACCAACATGTATGGCAGGTCCTATTTGAAAGTTGGGGCCATGGATTCCAAATATTTTACAGCAGCTGTTTAATGTTCTCCTATGCAGTTATTAAACACAAATGGGAGTAAATTAAAATGGCAAAGTAAAGTGAAATGAAAAACTCTTCTTCCATTCTACTAAAAGACAACATCTAATTAAGGAATATTTGAATTCCACAAAAACACAAACTCTTCACAGTGACATAAGACTTTGCTTTTAAAACTGTAGCCAAATATAAACCTGTCCAGCTCAGACCAAGCTTACGCATAAGGGCCTCGATCCCACGGGCCAAGGGCCAGAACAGGCCAAAGACAGGGGCTGCTGCTTTGATTCTACCCCACCTCAGATACCCTCATTGTGGGAGGCCTCCTTTGACGTTTTTGTTCTCATTTCTTGCAGGACAGGGAAGCAGGCTTGGCCCAGAGCAGATTTTTAGGTTCCAAGTTTGCTGGTGGTGAGCCAGGGCAGCACCAGGCGCTGGCTTCAACAGCCGTGCCCAAGTGTGCCTAACTGTTGGGAACAGCCCTTGGATTCTTTTCCTCCCTGTTCTCTAGCACAGAAAAAACCCCAAAAACCCTCCCTTGAAACTATTCATCATGCAATGCCTGAAAACCTTGTATTACTTTATGCCATCACCCGACCCAGGGCAATCTGCCCAGGATTTTATCAACATTTACTTCATCAGTACTTAGACTTCTATTCTCTAGTTGGCAATGCTCATATGCCAGATACATTTGCCATTTCATGCATCCTGCCAGAGTTAGAGAAATAAAACTCAGGAATGGGATTAACCCGGGAGCATACCTGTGGGGCTTGATGCTTGCAGCTGGCACCTGGGATTTTTTTCAGGGGTATGAACCTGTCAGGCAGTCCTTGGAGAGGGAACTTTGAGCTGGGTGCATGCAATTCTGCCCCAGGTGGCTCTTAAATAAAAAGTGGAGAAAATGGGAAGAACTTAAGCTCAAATACAAAAATGAACTATGGGCACTGAGCTCTTCCAGTGGGGTAGACAAGCAGGAAGGTCAATAGTCCTGGTTGTCCAAGATGGTAATGACATGGCAAGATAAGGATATAGCAACATTATATAGCCATGTAAATTGAGCTACATTCAGTGTTCTGTAAGGTACCATAAAGCATATATATCTCTGCCTCTTGGCTTCTCCAATTCTGCCTTGTGTTTTACCCAAAAAGAAACAATGTCTGCAATTGCAGCAAAATCCCGTCTAGACACAGGTAACATGTGCACGTACCTACACCTGGTTCCCAGCCCTCCCCTCCACACAGGCACCAGTGTCACCCGAGTATCCTCAGATCATGTTCATTAGAAGAATAAATTCCACAGGGATTTTCCCATAATATAAGGGGGAAAAAACAACCTTGAAAAGAAGAGGATGCTGCTGGCATCCTCCCCTGAGTTCTTCAAGGACAACACCAACACCTTGCCACTGCAAAGAGCATGAGGCACAGAGTGACAGCAAAGTCCTCTTTAACAGCAGATGTGGCCTTTTATTAATGGCCTGTTTTGTAGTGTTTTCTTTATTTTTGTTACTTTGCTACTCGAGAAGCAGAGTCTCATCTTTCCTAGGGATTATGGCATTGCTCCCTCCCTTTCTCAGCTGCCTATCAGTTGAAGAACTAAGAATTTTACAAAGCCCATTTATTGTATCTAACGCAAATTAAAAATCTCAGTGTGGAGGATTTTATTTGAAAAAAATTGCTCTGACTGCCAGAAAACATGGGGCCAAATCATTGTCAAGTCCATCTTACCTGCTGCCCTACCAGAATCATCACTTGCAGCTTCCCCTCTCCCCAAAGAACCTGGGGGTCTGATGAGCCAGCAGGGACAGGGGTGGGGTGGGGAGGAACATGTATCCCATCCTCTGAGCAGCTCAGATATGGGACTGGAAAAGGTAATGAATATGCAGACAGCCCAAGCTGGTCCCCAGGAGGGAGGGCCGTGCACATTTTGTCGGCTACCTCTGTCCACTGGTTTGAGGAAGGAATCCTTCAGCTCCCAGGGCAGTGCCCATGCTCTGACACAGCAGGACACCGTCCAGCTCGGGATTCCCCATGGCAACACTGGACTTCTGACTGAGGGCAGCAGTACCATTTGCTGTGCTAGCACAGGCCCTGGTGCTCCTCAGTGATAAAAAGGAGCAGTATGACAATACGTGAGTTGCTGGTGACATGGATGTGCAGGCTTGTCTGTGGCTGCCAGCTCTGGGAATGAGTGTAGCTCAGCACTGGCAGAAGGTGCTTGATTGATGGCTGGGTATTGTAGGGCTACAGTAGATGTGTCGTGCCAGACTGTGTACCCAGTCCAGAAACCCAGGGATTATATCAAAATGGCAGCTTACAACCATGCCTAAATAATAAAAGTGCTTTCTTACAAGTGCAGTGAATCCAGCTGTTTCCTAATGCCAGCACTACATTTGCTTTCCACATTTGCATCTGCGGCTTGTCTGAGCTCCACATGTTGGGGAATTTAAAAACAATAATTCATGCTTTTTTCCATGTTTTCTGAACGAACTAGGCTCCTGCAGAAAAATAGCAGGGGCAAATATATTTATGTTCAGGGATACAGCATTCTAGTCAAGGTATTTGGAGAGTAAAAGCATAACTGTACAGAGCTGTGAAGAGATAATACGTGGGGAAATGATTTTTAAAATGTAGAGGTAAAACCAGGATTATGCTTTTCCAAAGCAATTTGGAAACTGTGTGGCAATAAGAATTGGCATGGCAAGTAAATCTTGGCTGTGCATATATAGATGCTATAGGGATCCCTTGCCAGCCATTTAAGAATTGAATAATTTTAAATAATTAAGGCTTCAACATGACGGTATACACACATATAGGTGTGATACATGCTCATATACTAACACATACATGTATATGCGCACACATATCTTTACAATCAGCACTGCCTGATTATTCTTTCATTTTCGGAAGGTTTAGGAGTTTTGAAGCACTCTGATAATTTATGCTTACCTATGGGGTCTCAACCATTGGCGTGGCACCTAGTTTATTTCTTGTTGATGTTGATGTCAATAATTTAGTTCAATGACCAGCGGGGACATGCTATGCATTAATGATTACTTACGTGCTCTATACATATTCAGATTTTGACTCCTGAGACTCTGCACATTTAGTTTGCCAAGAGATGCTGCTGCCTCTCCAGCAGGTATTATTAACTGAGGCAGCATTAAAGCAGCAAGAGGGGCATTGGGAAATATCACTGATAGCTGAGAAGGGCCAAGAACAGATCATAAACTAAACTTCAGTAAAGCTGAAATATACTCATGATGTTATCTTCCAATGAAAGATTATTTAAAACTCAAGTCTTTGAGTGCAGAAATCATAATGGGATCAATTATAGTTCAGAGCCAAAATTGTGTTGCCAGGTTATAAACTCACATTTCTGTCATGGTCCAGTTGCTGCTAGCTAACCATCTCTTCAGCCACCAGCACTGCATTTTTTAAGGCCAGTTTGGGAAATACATGACTTGGGACGAACCAGGGGTGCCAGGGAATCAGTCTAGTTCAAGACTGACTCTTTCTTTTTGTAGCACGGGAGGGGAGTGCTGGGCCCACGGCACCATCAGCACAGAGGAGGTGAGGGAAGCACAGACAGAATTGCTAACCACATCTCCCTCCATGATAAACTTTTTTCCCTTGTAAGAGGTGAGATACTTCTTCAAAGCACAAAGGAGAGGGGATAACTGGCAGGTGGGGCTCTGTATGAGCATGCAGAGATTTTCTCCCACTTCCCTGAGGTCTATTTTTTGTGGTTGTGGTTGCCTTTGAAAGGCAGTAATGAGGTAGGAAATCTTCACACTCTTTAACATTGAAGGGTTTCAGAGCAGGACTGATGCAGTGGAAAAGGAAAGAGGAAGTCCAAAACAGGAGAAGTATTTTGGAGTAGTTTTTTTTAGTGGCATACATGCAAATAGTTTGATATTTGTGACTACACGGACAGCTAGCAGAGGAGGATTGTTTACAAGTTTTCCTAAATGATGGTTCTTGTTGATCATCATTATGATGATCAGACTTGGTTATTCTTCCTTCCGAAAGCCTGTCTTCTTTAGGGTCCCTCTGGGATGATGTAAAGTTGTAATTGACAATATGGATTTCTAAATCAGCTAATATGGACATTGTCCTTAATACAAATCAACACGACACTGGCAGGAAGAAAAAATTCCCTTAGTGGAAGTGGGAAG